CGAGCAGTCAGTCCAACATTTTACAAAAAAAAATTGCGGTGTTTACAGAATTCTCCGTTAAAGTATAAGGCTTCGTTGTCATGTTTACGGCAACAGTTTGGAATATAACAATAAAGGATGTAAAAGGAATTACGTCATCGACACCTTGATGGAAATTGTAATTATAGTGAGAAACTTGTAATGAATGGTCGTTTTAAAACCTTTACGTATGCCGAACAGTGTTAACAGCGCCCTCCGTTGATGAAGATCTCACGGTGGCGTGTGTGAAAATAATTATTGGTTATTATATCCGTTTGAGTACGTGTCAATTGCAAATGCAAGTGATAATGATATATATCTATATATCTATCTATACATAATTTTGACACAGAAATCATATTCAATTTATGACACTACTACGTGACGGACCTTAGTCACCATCTACAAGTTCATATCGGGCATTATGGAAATTGAATGCGCATGCGCTTTTGCGGCGTCAACTGATTGAATCAACACATTAGAAAAAAAAAGAACACCCCTAAAGTTACATCCGTGAATAAATCTGGGCATGTGGCTTTGAACTGTGGCCTTGGATACCCACCAAGAGATTAGATTGACCCCGTGTTCAACGTCAGGTAAAACAACCATTAACTGAGGAATTGTTTGATTTGTTTCCATGTTATTCGAATTTGTAAAAAAGTCACGTGGTTTCCAGCGTTTTTGACACCTACGTCACATGGCATTTGTGAAAAAAAACTTCAAATTAAAGATGTTAACAATGATAACCATTCACAACATTTCAAAGACAACAAGTATTTTTTTAAGAAGTTATAATTATTCAAAGCACTGTCGCGCTTTCTGATCACGTTCCATTTATATTTATTGGGTTATCATTAATGAACGTATGTGTAATCAACAAAGTTCTAGATACAATGAACACATTGGCATTAAACATAGACCGTGCATTCACGGGTAACATGGGAATTCCAAAATTCAAAATACTATAATATGAATTCCCGAGAGCATTAGTTTGATCGTGCAGATTGTTAAGTTGATTTTGAAAGATTCAATATATATCTGCATGAAGATTTTTTAACTGACTGGGAGATATTTAAATTTCACTGAGAACTGGCGTTTTATTAATTTGAACAGAGATAAATTGCATCTCTAAAAAAAGAAATAGAAACTATAAAAAATGAAGAAAATATGTAAGTATTATATAAAAACATGCAATTTTACATCTTTGAGTCTCAAACCATTTTTTTTTTATTATTTGGATAGTGGCCTGAAATGGCATAAGTAGCGTTTTAATCAATCTAATACAAATTCAATGATCTTTGAATATTATCAAAAGAACACTATCTATTGTGGTATGATGGATATCTATGCTGTGCATAAACAAACAACGCTTGAACAGCTGGAAA